AATAAGATAATAAGCAAAGAAGTTTCAGCCGTAGTGTACACAGGGTGTATAAGAAGCTTTACATGACAACACTGGTTATGTCGGCGTTTCTGTACGCGTTTGTCATCGTCATCTGGATTTTTGCTAACAGAAATTCAACAGAGTACGTTTTTTTTAATAGAGTAATACGTTAAGTAGATTAGATTAGAATATAGATTCGAGCTCACACTGGTACCAGAGTTATTTAGAATCTTAGAAAACTGAATCTAATTGGAATCCAATGATTGGAGTCTCGAATGATACATTGGCCACGATAAATCATTCGGAAGACATATTTTCGCTCTGTGGTGCATGATGAAAGCCAGTGCATTACCTTCAGGGTCTGCTTAGGTCAAATTGGCAATCAAATCTCTTAACACTTGCAAAATCCAAGTGGAGAAAGCTCATCACATAAATTTCATTTGCATAGCAAAAGGTTTCCTCTAAATATTAAATGTTACAATTTGTGAGAACTCCCAATTTAACTGCTTTTAAACAGTATTAGTATGTTGTAATCATTCATCTGAAAACTTTACAAGACTCTTATCATATTATTTTTCAAGAATGTTAGAGCCTTACCCGAGGTTTGGTATGCCAGAGCCATACACGCGTGTTTCTGAGGTCTCGCCCTCCTCGTCAAAGGCCCATGTCCCTCATTAAGCCCTGCACTATAGCAAGGGGGAGGCGAATGTGGTGATGGAACAATGTACAATGACATTGCACCATCACCACTTGTCAGTCGACGGATCGTGATTGGTAGAACAAAACTGATCCAAGGAATCGACTGTTTTTGAAACCTCGCAGTAAACATTCAATATAATTTTTATGAATCATATTAACGTAATCATATTAGTATAATCTTTCATGCGACTGATTATTTGAAACCTCAAGGATTCTAATTTATATGATTTCACAGACTTTTTTATTTAACCTTTTACACGGTTTAATATTACATTCAAGCAATATACGCGCGTTTCGATAGTTTCGCCGATCTCGTCAGTATTGCACGCTAGATGCTAGAAGTAGCAGAGTTCTCGAGGTTGTAAATAATCAGTCGAATGAAATGTTAAATATATACGACAACAGTCACAAAACATTAATTGAAAGAAAGACAGTGCAATTCGCTGCGATTTTCTTGGTAAACACTGTGGCATCTTGCTCCTCCGCTACTCTTAGCATGGGAGTGCAATACTGACAAGATGGCCGAAACCATCGCAACGCTCGTATATTACTGAAAAGCAATACCAAATCTCGTAAAAGGCCAAATATGAAAGTTTGTGAAATGTTATAGATACGAAAAACTTTCGACCCCAGGCGGAAGTTGATCTCGCGCTTCACATCCATACTGCGAAACTCACCGTTTTGTTTTTTGCAGGTTCTTTCAGATAATGATGACCAGAGCACAGAAATATAATTGTGGACGTGGAATGGGCCTGGATTTAGTTAGGTAATCAATTTGGGATATGGAGCAAGGTGACGCCTGATCACATGATACTCGTTCTTGCTGTTTATTCCCGTTTTTTTTCCAGCATACTCAAGTACTCTGGTAGGGTTGACGGCAGATGTTATGAATTCCTGCGCAAAGCTAAAGACTTTTCTTAATTTTTCTCAATATGTACTTGTACTTCATATGTAACCTTTGATTTTTTGCTTTTATACTTATATGGACAGAAAGTAGCCTATTATTTGGCCGGCTTATGCGTCCGCGTACACTCCACAACAATTCACAATAGGCACCATGTCCGAATGCATGAGATTTTCATCTTCACCATTCGGAAATTCTAACACATTTACAATGAGCATAGGCCATCATACACGCTTTTCAAACTAACTGGAATTCCTTGCATATTCGGTGGCCTTTTGATCAGTGCTACCAATTTTCATAAACTGAATCTTTCTAAGAACGTTTCCATAGGCGTGTTTATTCATTTGATATCGTAAGGGAAGGTAAGCGATGTAGAAAGAACAATGAGGAGTGTCTGAAAGAAGCCGTACCGACTTTTATCTATTGAGATCATGGATTGCTTGATTGAGGAGATTACGTGTCACCTTGACAGCATATTTGAAGTCTTTCATGAGGTCTCCTATTAGGACTTTTAGTGATAAATGAATGTTTCAGCCTTCTGACCCCTCAGCAGCACGGTGCCTTTCACTCCAGCCAATCCCTTGTAAAGAATTATACCTCCTTACATATAAGGGAATCGAAAACGAAGATGTTGCAGTGCACGTAAGTGAAAAACACTTCACACTGCAGTGATGTTAAATTAGTGTGTGTCGAGTGGTAAGATCACCCGACGATGCAGTGATTAACAGTCGATTGCCCATGGCCATTAAATCGAACATAACTTTATGTTCGACTGTTTTTGACACCTTGTTCAAAACAACGGGTAATCTGATAACATATTTCAGGCTTTTACGCCTTTAAGCCCTCACTCAAGTGCAATACACGTGCCTCGGCCCTACATACGAGAGACACTGGGCAACTGGAGAGGCTGCGAAGCCGAAACTCGTCTATCGCAGTGTATGAGTGCCATAACAGACCTCAGTAATGGCTTAGAATATGCTGTCAGAGTGTATCAAAGAAATCAATCGAAGTCTTAAAACAGTCGAATATAAAGGGAATATGTGCCATTGTGACCTTTGTAGCTCTAAGGAAGGTGAAAAGCTTAGAAACGTCATAGGGTATAGATGAAAATCTTCTGTCTGCTCATCAAGAAACAACGCAATCATCAAAAACGTCAACAGAACCGGATAATCCAGCTGAACAGTCTAATCTTCATCCTTTGTACGATTCATTCTTGAAGAGAGGACTTTCTCCCAATTTACTAGGTCTCTATTGTATGAGTACCCAAACGGGATAGTCGTCAGGCTACGCTTTGAGCTGAATCTGACAAATAAAAATCTTAGCTTTACTTGGTTAGGGAACAAATAGGCGTAGATTCTTTTCAATGAAGGAATGCGTACATTTCAGAACAGTTATCTGCTTTATCACAATACTTACGAAACACTTTACTACTGACATCGTCATAAATTCCATAATGGTCTTCAACATCCTAATTATCGCTTGTTATGTTTCGTTTACTTGTTTCTTAAAACGAATCGGAATGAGTGAGTTTTCAAAATGTAATATTTTTGATGATGTCCATTGAAAGTGGAAATGTTCTACGGAATTCACATACACTTAAAATGCCTTCTTTTCAGGTACTCCGAATATGAAGCAAATTTATCGCTCGCTAATCCTTATCAGCTTAACAACGGTGCTTGGTTGGTTCAGCACAATCCTTATTCTATTCATCTCCAGGCTTCTAAACATCGAAACTGACCATTTATACGTCGATCTACTAAGTGGACTCTTTGTAAATTCCTCATTGGCGACAAATTTCTTCGTTTATTATACGATGAGGTTAGTAAAAGCATTCACAAAAGTGTGAGGTAATAAAACTTTGTGGAGTTGCATTTACTATATTGAGTTACTCGGCTGTGCTGGAACGGTTGATGTAAATGTTACCAATGAAGCTTTGGGCAGAACAGTTAAGATGTGGCTATACTATTGAAAAGTATTACCCCGATTCACTATTCTGTAAAGAAGGAGGTCGCTTTCATAACTAACTCCTATCTCCTATTTCACGGAGGAAACCTGAACTGTAATTTCCATCGGCGAGTAAACATATCTGTTCTTGTTAAGCAACATAATACTTGAGGCAAAAAATTATTATGCTCACTGTTCTCTCCATCGATTGTTGGTATATTTGTCATTGGCTCCATCGAGTGCCTATGACAAAAGGATCATCTGCGTATATTGAAATCCTCGATAAAAAAGTACAATTTTTTTCTTGCGCTTAAAAAGAAGGGAGAAAAGAAGAATGTATTTTACTTCATTCTGATTGCATTAAACAATTTCAGCAAAGAATATCGTCAGCAGTTCGATAAACACCTCCTTATTATTCACGTTAAGAGATTTCTTGGACTCAATAGTGGCAGCGCAGTTACTGTCAATCTGGTAACAGGTCGGCATCGGATAGCACCACAGCAAAAATTATGAGTGCTTGAAGCACAAAACATTTGAACTATAAGAGAACTATACGCTCTCTCATGAAGTAATTGTGCATTGTTATAAGTTGTGGAATCAGTCGATATTAACAGTTGTATAAAATGTTCTTGAGGTGCAATCCATTTGCTAATACAGCAGGAGTTCTTGAACATTCTACCACAATCAGATTTGGTCTCGTTGAAACGTATCTAAGCTAAAGTCTAGCTCATTAGAAGGATTTTGGATCGATCTCAGCACCAACAGATAAACTGACGTTTACTCAAGGAATATTAGCTGTAAGCTGATCTGAGCATTGTTGATGGCTTAGAAGTCAGCAAACCACCATTTGGTATTCTTTTGAAAAGAAATATGCAATATAAAGAGTGTCAAACAGCAGCTTGTAATTTGATACATGTTCAATTAGAGAGTCTTTCAAGGACGTTTTCTCTAAGGAGATAGATAAAGCAGCGAAGGAGAGATTGCTGGTGTTCATTGTAAGCACTTAATGGTTTAACTATTAATTATTTACACAACCGTCATCACCATTTACTACGAGGTTCCCAGCACTTCTTGCAACAGACCGTTTTCTCGCATGCATCCTTCACAAAGGTGTTCGAGCAATTCACTTTTTTTCCGACAGCTGCTTGACGAATTCTCCTTGTTTAAGAATGACGCAGAGTCACGGGATCTCCTTGCAATTTTGATGCCTTGTGTAAAGAGTTCGTTGATTGATTGCAAGAGTGCTGGGAGAGGCGAACCAGTACCTTGCTCCCTGGTAGCCTGGGTAATTAGCCACTGGGCTATAGCCCCTATGATGGTCAAGTGAGTCATAATCAAAAAATTTGTGCACAAGATAAAACCTCGAATGACAGCTGGACCAATACAATATACCCAATGATGTAGAGTGGTGAGCAAAAACTTTTGTGCCACTTGGATTCGAACCCACATTTTACTCACTGTAGCGCAACGGTTCAGCACGCGCTCCCGGCAAGAGTGAGTGTGGGTTCGAATTCCACCTGACGCAGAAGTTTTTGCACACCGCTCTACATCATTGGGTATATTCTAACATCATATCACCGCAAGAGGCAGTCAAATAATATAATTCTGATTAAGCCAGTACACCTGTTCAATGGCCTTGCTGATAATTGATGCTAGATATCAAAATGAATTGGTTGAACATGTAACTGCTACAGACATTATAATTGATTACTTTAAAAGGTATGCTTCTAAAACAACCAATTTAAATCATTGAAGTAAAAAAATCATCGACGTGTCATCTCCATCATTTAGACGAGCAAATTGTCATTTACAGATGAAGCAGCCATCAAACTTTGTTGGTCGTTTTGCATACCAGAGCTCCAGGTGTTCGCCGAGTGACTCAAATAACATCGCTCAAGCAGTAGACTCAACCTTTTCTTTAGTAAACTGCTCATCATGTAAAAAAGGATAAAGCTCTCGGCGTTGATCAATCCCTGAGGAATGCGCCATGCATTCGGCTTCAATTTTTAACTTCGTTTGAGGTGATTGAATGCATATCTGGCCTTTACAATGACTCGCGGTGACCTCCCGCTGAACCGAGTCAGTGCTGCTTATCCTCCCAGACAAGTCTGAGACCTGTCTGGTACCAATTTACCGACCCCGGAGGGATGGATGGCTTGGTGAGCCACGAGTGCGAGATCGAACCATTGACCTCATGTGCGACGCAGAGCACCTCTAACCACTGCGCCACACTGCGCTCATGCTCATCGTGTAGATAGGCGTAAATAGTCGACACGGCTTTGTGAAAGGTCTTTACCTTTTGCCGAGCTTACGAATGACAATGGTGAACTCGTTCGATTTCACGAAGAACCTCACTGGCTCGACATTATAGTCTGCTACTGCAAGACACTCTCTAACAGCAATAAGGCGGCTTGCAGTTAACGATACAATTCCATTCATAGAACACTAACCTATCGCGGTGATCAGGAATTCACCAAGTTGAGTTGTCCATTAAAAAGTCCAAAAAGCGCTATAGCTTTCGCATAAGTTGAATAGAACCAAAGCGCTGTAGTTTCCGCATAAGTTCTATAACTTTGAGCTCTTTCGGTAAACATACAAAGCAATGCTATTTTGGTCGGCAAACATATGGGAAGATCATTTGGTGACCAGACTTAGTTATTCGATGAGCGTTTCCTTTCCAAACTCTCGATTTTTTAAAGCAAGGAATTTGGATATGCGAAACGTATATAAAAGAGTGAGAGTGAGTTAGCATAGTCGTGATTTTCATAGATTTTAGAGCTCTAGACAGATCTACGAGGTAAATAACAGTTTTGAATACGATGATTAGAATAGAAGGTATTCAGAAGTTCTGATAATTTTTCCAAATATTATGCCGTTCGTTTCGAGTGTTTTCTTGAGACCACACTCAAATTTCAACATCCTCATAATTGTTACTGAGCCAACTTGTCATATAGTCTGTTAATGGGCTCTTATATAGCCCGATAGACGTGTTTTGACCTTGACGGTCTCGTCAACCGGGCAAAACTCTTTGTCTATTAATCAATCCTCTAAGGAGTCCTTACGCTCCCTATAAAGACGTAGGCGGCAACGAACGATTTACATAATCGCCGTCAAGTGGAAAAGCACTAAATCGGCAATTGCGACACTCGGTTGCTTTTGGGTGGTATTTTCGCAATATCCTACCTTTTACTTCAGATGTTTTATTGAGACCACGCCCAAATCTCAATATATATATATCTCATGATTATTATTTGAGCCAGCATGTCATGTGGTCTGTTAATGAGCTCTTGTGGAGCCCGATGCATGCGTTTCGACCTTGACAGTCTCGTCAATCAAATAGCCAATCTTATAATTTTGCACTTGACGGTGATTGCGATTGTCTAAATCCTTCGTCGTCGCCTAAATCTTTATAGGGAGTATAGAGACTCCCTAGAGGATTGGCTAGAGAAGAAGGGTTCTACCTGATTGACGAGATTGTCAAGGTCGAAACACGTGTATCGGGCTGTATATGAGCCTATTAACAGACCACATGACAAGTCAGCTCAAATAGCAATTATGAGGATGTTGAAATTTGTTTTTCGTGAAATCAAAGGAGTTCACTCTTCTTTTTTTATAGCTATAATATGCAAAGAGAGATGGAGTGATACGGTGTTTCCCCGTTGTTTTCACCCCTGTCTGAGCCCTTAGATGAAAACGTATTTTCTACTTTTGTAAAACTTCTTGGCAATCGTACAATAGCTAAACTCAAGTGAGTTTGAACGGAAAATTCTATTTTTCAAAAAATGGCGGCGCAACTTGAGGCCTTCGGTATAAACGTATTCTTTTCTGTTATTTGACGAATGTACGATTATCTGATAGCTTAAATCAAGAGAACTTCATAGGTATATCTTATTTCTCATATTGCTTGTTTTTGACGCCGTACCAGTCAAAATAAGATTTTGTTTCACATTTGTAGATTTCTCGCGTGAAAAAATTATCTTAAATAACAAACCATTAGACCATTTAACCTCAAGGGAGAGCGAATCTTTCTAATGAACAAAATGTGTTTGCTCTTGAAAAAGAATTTCTTAGAGCTCTGCAATTCGCACAAGAACAGTGGATTTCACACATCTGAATTAACGCTGTTTTGCGCACCCCTTTAGAGGCAAGGGTGTTTTCAGTTTTTCCAAGATGCTTCTTAGTTTAATCAATAGTTCAAATTTAGAAAATTCTAGCGATATACTTAGATTCCAAAATAAACCTTTCAGTTCGCTGTAACAGCCGAAATAATAATAAGTTTCACACTTGCGCCGTTTCAACGCGTCTTTCGTCGACGAGAGCATTTCCCTTAGACTTTTAGAAACCATTCGATAGTTTGAATTCTGCACATTCCAGTCATGCATTTGGTTTTTTAAAAGGACTTCTTAGTGAACTGTAATAGGTTAGGGCGCGCATCGCAGCGAAGGCACTTGGCCACCACGCATTGCTAGGTATGTGGATGGGATTTCGCGATACTGTCCCCTGGCTGACGAGTCACCTCAGAACACTGTCCCAGTTGTAATCTCCATTGTCGATTAAATAACGATGTTTTTGGATGCGATTAAAGTTTTCTGGCCTCCTGAACAGTGATTTATATTTGATGTGAGTTTGTTAATCTTTGAAACATGATAAATTATTTTCAGCAAGTTTTTTTTGTGAAAAAGCACATGGACATGTAGAAAAATTCCAGAGCGTCTGATAGGATCTCTGATTTTCACCAAAAAATCCACATGTGACTTGTGCAGCAGATTGGTATTACAGCTGTACACACACCCTAGCCGACTAGAAGTGTTCACTGAGCGTGAAACCCAATATTCTTTCGGTCGTTACAAAGCTCGAAGAAGTCCTTTCTGAAAGCCAAATATACGCTTGTAATCGGAAAGATTTTCTCTTTTTATCGATCGGAAGTACGTCAAAACTTCACCCAGTGAGAAATCTGCGAATGAGGAAAAAAATTTTATTTTGACTGGTACGCTATTTGAGAATTTGAACTAGCCACTGAAATTCACTTGATTTGAGCCATCGATACGCTACAGAAACGTTTTCCCAAAAGCAAAAAATACGTTTTCACCAGAAGCCTCAACTGGCGCGACCATATTAAAGCAGTGGTAAAATTACTTTCCATTACAATACCCTTGTCAATGGGAAAACAATGCATTCCCTTTACTTATAGCCTATTTTTTTGACGATATTCTTAAAGCGTAGTTCATGAAAACATGCCTTTTAGAAAAATTTGTATGGTGTGGCCTTCAGTACATAGTCGGAATCAGCCGATTAGAGCCACATTCGTCAAGGTATGTCAGTCCATTGAAGCACAAGAGTGGCAATACGTGACGATTGTGAAACATAATTTTATTTCTAGCGCTAAGCCGCTGTAAAAAGAAAACTTTCTAAGTGGTCAAATGAGCTTTGATTCTTTGGAGATTTAAGCTTTCAAATAATTACTGAGAATCCAGTGAAAAGTCTTTGTTTAGAAAGATCCTTTCAAAAACTCCGGCCCGATAACAGAAAGCACTAAATCTAGTTGCAGTAAGAGTTATCGATGAAATGACATCTTATGCACTGTACAACATCATTTTTGATAAAACAATTATTGCTTTCTATATCAGTCACTATGACACCCTTTGAGTGTTTTATATAACGAAGTATATCAATACTAATAGTTTTGAATCATTTTAATCTTTGTACAACTTATCACAATTGACAGAATGCTAACAATAATACAATTGTCTAGTAAAATAGAGCTTTTATTGCACACTTAGGTGATAGATTTGCACCAAAAGCACACGGACGTGTAGAGAAAATCGTCAAATGTCGAAGTATGCCTAATAATTGATTTTTGATCCGTACATGTAGTCTGTTATGGGCACTAATACAGTGAATAAGCGCATGTTTCGGTCTTGGCAGTCTCGTCATATGCACAGTTCCTTCCGGTAATTCGCTTTAGCTAATTCTCTTGGGAAACCCACCCCCTCACATAGAGAAGGCGCGGACGTACTATTTACATGTGCCACCAAGTGAAAGAAATCACTAGATGACAGTGTTGTACACTCGTTATACATCGTGTATTGCACTGCATAAGTTCCTATGAAAGACCACGTGCATGGATCAAAAAATAATTATCAGATACATTAAAATTTGAGCGTGTCTCAAAGAAACACTCGAAAAGATAAGTCGAAGTATTTTGAGAAACCCAGAATGTTTCTTAAACAGTTAGCAAAAAGCCTTAATAATATAACAAAAATCCCGCACGATAGTGAATCACACTGCGCGCGACAATTTCACCTGCAGTCTTGAATGAGTTAGATGGCGTTTGACCACTGAGCGGATCGAAGGCCCAACCTTTCGATCTGGAGTTGAACGCGCTACCATTGCGCCAAGCGGTCGACGTACCAGTGGCTTTGGTCATGGTTATGTCATGTTTGCAACGGTAAGCTTATATGCATCTCGACTTTCAAAAGTAGTGGCTTGAAAATTCCGGTTACTGAGCTGATCAGATGATCAACTCT